TTGTGTAAACACTTCCAGTTTCGAGATCCATGAAAGTGGATATTTGATCCCCAAATACTCATTTTTCTTAATCCTTGTAGGTTTTACAGTTGCAAAGTTGCGTTTTTACTTAAAGAGTGAGATAGAAAAGCCAAACTGGGTGAATTTTAGCCATTTTGAAACGCTAAACTCTATCGACCGGAGACTCCGCGTGACGAATTGTTTCGTGACTAAACGTGATATTGGGGAGTCGACCAGTCACGGAATCACAATATTAACACTGCATTTCTTGACGGCGTATGAGAACAGTGTAAGGTATAATTGAATGAGTAAAACAGCAAGTTTTGGAAAATATGGCTCTCAAAACTCGGTTGCCATGGTAACGTCAATGCTAACGACTTAGCTTACCATCGCGGGCTACGTGGTCTTTAACTTGTTGCCACTGCTTCAAGTTCTCAGATTTTGGTGAGAATAAAAATACAAAATCCGCTGAATAAATTTAAACTGTGTGCAGACGCAAGGGCGACATAAAATGCACTGGGTATTAAACCTCTTCATTATCTGCGGAACTCAGGAAAAACTGATGTAGAAAGCACAAAATAAGCATATGGCATTGTTTTCTTGGATACCAGCACACAGTTTGAGGTCTACGAAATCGGTTAATTTGTGCTCTCTATCCTTATTCGTTACATTTTAAGGAAAGGCAGCAAGAAAACGGGGCCCACTCATGCAGACTTTGTGATGATAAGGTCCCTATCCATTTTTTTTTTTTTTTATCTTTTTTGCCCCGCGGGCCTTGTTTGGTGCCACTGTTAATAACACTATTTCCATTGAGTGCCAGTTCAGAACTTACAGAAGTCTCAATGGTCTCAGTTTCCTCGTAAGAAAGGTTCTTGGTCTCCGGAAGCTTTGTGGGCAGCTCCCCTATTTTCTGCATGTCAAGATTAACCCGGCAGTTGCGACAAATACCTGTTGAGTGAATCGATGGAAAATACAGGTTTTTGCTGATACGATTTAATCACTATTCTGAACAACTACGGTCTTAATTTACACAAGTAAGGGAACCTGTTTTAAAAAACTTAAATGATAGATTTTCCTGCCCTTTCATATACTTCAACTCTTCAATTCCCTACCCTTTGATATACCTGAAGCCTGATAAAGGTACCCTTTAGGGGCTGAGTCTCCCTGTAACTATCTATAGGCCATCGGGGAATCTGCTTTAAAAAGCTGTAATTTTAGGAGAAGGCTTCTAAATTTACCTTTTTGCTGCTACAATCACTAATATAAAATGTTAGAATAATGAAAGGAAAAGAAACACGTAAATAAACAAAGGCTATTGAATTTGCGACCGTCACGGCTACTTAATTATTGAAAAAGTCAAAATAAAAAAAAAAGAAAAGTGCTTACAAAGTGCTTTAATTGAAGTGTCAGATTGGACCGCCATTTTAGAGCTGGTCTGTTTGGTTGAAAAAGATGAAAAATGATGTATACATACGTGAACCAACTGGCATAAAAATTCCCAGTTCTTCCATATCAAATAACAAGCACTTTTGCCAAGTCCTCTTTCTGCCTTTGCGTTTTTTTGGGCTTGTCCGCCGTGCTTCGAGATTGGCGGAGGAACTCGGCACAGATTCGATCCTCGACGCCACCCAATACCGAGGGATGAGCAGTGCCGGGGACAAATTGTTAATTCCGAAAGGTCTAACTCCGAAGAAAAGGATGTAGATACTCTTCCCAAAATAAGTTCGATTTCGGTTTCTACGTCAGTTATTGACAAGGAAGACTTATGACCCGCGATGTCTCTTTTGCAGTTCAGAAATGGAATAAGCTCAGTTGATCTGCTCCTATCTCTGGGGTCATAAGAGCAAGAACCGCCGACTAAGGAGCTAAAAGAGTACTTAACGTCCATGATGACACAAAACTGGCAAAATAAATTCACTCCAACTTCGCTAATTAAATTTTCCCTCTTTGTATTTAATTGACTAATTCAATTTACCACGGCTAGTAAACTGCTTCGAGCTTTAGCCAACTCTGTCATTTCTTCAACAAATAATAAAAATGAATCCTCACAATTGCAGAAAATATCAATTTAAAAAGCATCTATGATTTTTTTCTTTCTGTTCCGATTCTTCTGAAACCAAAGGAAGCGAAAAAAACAAGTATAAAAGTTAAACAGGTTAGCCGAGAGCTAATCAAATTACATCCTGATATTTATCAGGGAAAACATCTTACACTGAAAAGGAAAACTTTCACCTTAACAATGATAAAAAATAACCCCTCTTCGGCCGATTGCCTTTTTTTCAATAAAAAAGGACGAAAAGCTCACACCAGAATCGTTTTCAGTACGCTTTCGTGTATATTCCGGCCTCCTGTGTAAAAACTCCGCTTGACGTTACGGTCACGCAACAAGAATTGTTTACTCAGTCGTTGTAAAAAATTTGAATGAATTACTGTCATTTCAAAACCTTCGCGTGAGGCGCTGTAAAGGAAACCCGTGCTGATTCTAACATATTATAGAGGACAACCTTAAATCCCTCTAATGACATAGTTAAAAGGAAAATCTGAATTATACTACATAGTGAAAAAAAACATTTGAATTAAGGAGGTATTTGCGGATTTTTCACGTTTGAAAATATAGCACTTTCCTGCGCGTTGTTTGCTATTAATGAACAACAATAAAGATAAGTCATATAGTTTCTGGGAAAGTACGGCACTCACTCTATCAAAATTCGGCGTCATGATCCTTTGAATCGTTTTTTCCTTGAAGACCAAAAGTCAGTTTAAAATATCAATTTCACATTTGCTTGCGGGACCTTTCGGGATCGTCGCGGGTCAAATTCGTTTTTCTCAGTTTTCTCAGAATTAAAGCGCTCCGGAAGAAAAAGAAATACAATAAATTTCTTCTATTCTTAGTAGCTTTTTATAGTCAGAAAATAAGCGAAATTCATTTTTCAACTCTTGCCACTCAATGGTCGATATTTCCTGACCGTCGCTCTTAAATAAAGGTTCTTGTCTTATCCTATCTGTTATCCTGTTTCGTTTTACGAAAGCCTTCCTTGTAAAACGCGGGAAATAGCATTTCTTAGCCCGGAAAATAAAACTTACCTTGTGTATGAGGCTCCCTCGCTCCGTTAGTGGGAACGAGCGTAGGAGCAGGAGTGTCAAAAACGGCGTGAGCCAAGCCAAGAAATATGCAGCAAAAACCACCGTTTCCGTTCACCTACTTTCTGTTTGATTTTACCTCCCACACTCGACCAGGCACACAGAGTGATGTCATGTGCGCGGCGGCGAAATAGAAATATATGCGAACTCAAGCTATCACAATTTGCATTTTCTACTACTTACTCGATTAACTACCCCTTCCAATGTTTGCTCAAGAAAAAAAAATACGTTACGCCGCTGTAATTCGTTGAAAACCCCCCTTATCTTGGAGGTGTTGTTTTCACTATTGACTATATCAGGCCTAGTCGAGAAATCAGGGTAGCATTCGATTACATTCCGCCTCAGGAGACGAAAGAACTGCGAGTCTTAACTTAATTTGTTAATAACGTTCATGCCTCTCAAATTTCAGTTTCATGTCAGTTGGAATACCCTAATAAATACCCTAAACCGTGCAGAAAGTCAAAACATTTGGCATCATTACCCTTACATTAAATTTGTTACTTTCAATTTGGTTTAATAAAAAAGACATAGAGCCATAGCACTCCTTCGTATAAAAAAACAACCCCTTATTGGAGATTACCCCTTCAACCGATACGATTTTCTTTCCTTGCAAATAATTATTGTTAAGAATGTCCCACCACTGAACTTTAGTCTCTCTGTGTCAATGGAGTTTGGTTAGAACGTTTCAGTAAATGAAACCGCATCAAACCACTCCAAACTGTTAGGATATTGGAGATTAACACTGGAAGGTTCGGAGCGTAAGTGAGAAATTATGAGTGGTTTGATGGCACATGACAGAAATGCAACATCAACTCAGTCTTAATGATGCACTAGGGTGCAAAATTGTTTTGAAACTGTCAGTAACTTATTAATATGTTTTTACAACCCTTCTACCCTCCCCCTTTATCTCCCTCCCCACCTCCCTCAAGCTTTACGCAGGCTGGGTTCGAACATTCAGTTTATGTGCATTTACGATGAACCCGAATAGTGGCTTGTCATAGAGAGGCACGTATGAATCTTTTGTTTGTTCATTTACTGATAGTATCAGGTATTTAGTGGTAAGCATAAGTTATTGATAGAAGCCCTTTTGTTGACTATTTGTTTATGCACAAAGGGACGCTTCCTTTGATTTTTTTTTCTAACATTATCAAATGGTCAAATTATGCTCATTGTGGTTTGTCTCCGGTACGTCTATGCAATGACAAATGGAAAATAAATATATCAATCTCACCACACTTTGTCAAAGAAATTTTTGCGTGATTGCTTCCTTTCCATCAGCTATTTTGTTTTATATATTCAGTCCAGTTTTCTTGCACGGTAAGTTATAAGTGTATTTTTTACGTTTTGGTGTGTGTTGTCGCGCACATGACATGAAATTAATTAAATCTAGCGCTGCAAAAGTGGTTGAATAAATATTCTAGCCTTAGCAAATTTTCGAGTAAATGTTTGTGAATCGGTTAGACTCGATTGGCAAACCCAGCAAAAAGATCTCTCGTATGGTTTTAATACAAGTAATACAGGATGATTACATAGTTGTCCCGTTTTCAAATCTCTGATACTTTTTAGCAAGCAATGTAGGAAACAATTTTCTTATCTAGATATGTAAATTTTTTTTTTCTCATACTCCTCTTTCAACTGTTTATACTCTCAGCCATTACATCAAAACACAGAAATTAGAAATATCTCGTTTAATTGACCATTGCGATAGACAAATGTTATTTTTAAACATATGTCGCTCAAAAATAGCGTAACCTTTCAAATGTGATAAGCACTTCCGAGAGGTCTTTCCGGAGTGACGTCACACTTAGCTCGTGAGTCAGTCCTGCGCGGCCCTTGAACTCAGCAAGTGTGACGTTATCTCTAAATTTACAGTTTTTGTTATACCATGCAGAGAAGCTGCCTTTGATGGGAAATTTTTTCTTCGTAGTGTGACATTGGCACTTCAATATTTCCTGACGAAAAGCTCTTCCGACATCAGAATTATCGATGAAAAGTTGTTTTGCAGTTTAAGACTCATCTACAGAGTGGAACAAGCGGGTCTACGAATAGTAACATGGAGAGCCGCGTTGTTCTAGCGTGCATGATATGTTTTGTCCTGTCTCAGTCCGCGTGTGGGTCATACATAGGGCTCGGAAGGGAAAGATCACCAGGACTGCTAGAAGACGTCCCTAGTAAGTAGTGTAACTTTCACATAGGAAAATTTTTAAAGTTTGACATGTACAGTGGTTTGAATTTTGGGGCTTGACTGAAAATCTTTTTTGTAAACAAGTCTGCGTCGTTTGCATATGTCAGCACGTACGACCTTATCAGTCTGGAAGGCCTTACCTTGTACAATTTGCTTTTGTTCAATTAGTCAAATACCGCTAATAAAGTCCTTTGACCTAGCAAATAAAAACCCTTTCAGTTTTCATCTACATCTGACTAACAACGTTTAGTTTCAATCAACAGATAAGTTATGATTTCGCAATATTCTTGATTGTTTACGCGTCGGACAATGTAGTTGATCGAATCATGCATTTTCATCTGTGTGTTTCCCAAAGCTGCAAAATCGTGTTTGTCGTCGATCTTTTCGTCTGCCTGTTTACACAGAAGTTAACTCACCTTTCGTGTGCGACATCGGAAGACTAGGAAGTTATTTTTTACTTAAATAATTGCAAAATTGAGTCTTGTTTTGATTTGTGCTGAATCTTAATTCTCTTTTATTTATTCTAATTTGGTGGTAATGATTTGCCCTAATGTGGCTGGGTCGTTATAAATTCCTTTGCTAACTAGCCTTCGTGGATTATCCGTATAACCACTACGTTCTCAAAGTGAGCCTTTTTGGACAATGACAGTTCATCGACTCTGTTCGACAAAAGTTTATAATGAAAACTAGCAACCGTTAAGTACTTTAGACATATCGCATTTCCTTTACGGCCTGTACACTACACTAAAACATAAACTTATATCTCAGGGATGGGATATTAGAGAGGAACGGTTCCAAATGGCATAGTTTGCCATGCTTGGCGTTAATCACTCCAATTAAAATTTAAGATTGTGTAAGAACCGGAAATGAATTTATCGCTTGCGAGATAATCTGTCTCCAAGACTTTCGTTGTGGTTTCCTTTTACATTTATCACCTCACGTGCTCATGTCATCTGAAGCGATTATTAAAACGTGCTTTGGTTTTTGTAAACAAATGTTTTGGCCTTAGAAGTATTTTACAATTACTTTTGAACAAAACACTGAATTAAATGTGTGTGATTGATGTTACACATTTTGTGTTGATGCTGTCGAATTCAAATTAAGAAACATGGAGTAACAGACTCGGAAACAGTAAACAATAACAACTGTCATTAAAATTCAAGAGGGAAAAAGGAACCCCAGTAGAGCTCTGCCTTTTGAAAATGCAAACGGAAATGAAAACTGGCACTAAAAAGCTTTATTTTATGAATTTCTCAGTTTTCAAGATGCTGGTTATTCATGTGTGTAAGTAATTTTCCAACTTCCTTTAAAATCCACTGGTGCAGGTAATTTGCCATGTGGGTAACTGAAAGGTGCAATCAAAGGAAAATGGCTTATAGTTCAGAGCAAAAAGTTAGAGCTAACCAAGTTGGAGTCAGTGAGATTCTGTTGCATAACACGGAACCATCAAGATTTGATTACTTAATTCATCAACTGTTTGATGTTGCTGAATCTGAATTAACTACTTGGAGAATTTAAGAAAGTTTAATTTGTGTCTGTGTGTGTGTGTGTGTATTTGACAAGGGGCACCTTAATGTTACATCATATGTGATAAATTGATCACATGTTAAATTTTGCAGTGATGAATATTTTCACCAAAAATTTGTGCATATTATTTTTATGTAATGTTTAATGTACTATTGAAAACTATGTCAATGAATGAGTGGCCAGTAATCAGATCCTTGTATTTGTGTAAATATTTCTGGGATCACCACAGAGCAAACATTGCAAGTTGTTAGAAGAAAATATATAGCAAAAGGTTGTTTGGAGCCAATTATCAATGCTGGTTGGTTCTTATTGATCACAACACAGAGGTAATGTAGGTCTTTCATCACCTAACGTATCACAATAATATTAAATTGTCAAGCATACCATTTCAATCTATTGCTGCCTTGCGGTAGCTGTTGTATCATTTTTTTTTTGTATTATCAAGCCAAGGAAAAAGCTCCAGAAGTGGACTTAAAACACATAAATAAAGTTGAAAGGGCTTCATTGAGTTATTTCTTGGTGATTTATCACTAATCATTCTAAAGTAGAAGATCATTATACAATGTCAATTTCAGTATAACCCTTGCACATGGAGGAAAGGTAATCGCTAGATTTTATTAAATATTTCATGGTTGTTCAAACAAAACCTTGGGATACCCTATAAAAATATTACCCACATCCATTTCTGATAAGATAGATGCAAAAAAGTGATGATCTCAAACCAAAATGGTTTCTTTTTTTTTGGACATCAAAACAGTGTTTTGCCTCACATTTCTCTCTAGCAAGTTGTATATTGACTGTCCCAGAAATAATTGTGCAAACACAAGGATCCGATTACTGGCAACTCATTCATTGGTTACCACCAGCCCAATTTGAGCACAAGTAGGACAGTGTGCATATTATGCTTATAACTTCGATGGTACACGTCATGTGTGTCCACTATTGTCACTCATTTTGCAGAATTCACTGTTGGTCTTATGAAAATAAATAGTGGAAAATTAGTTTGTCTCTCTAATACTGCTATAGTTTTGATTAGTTGGTAACAAGACTTCACATAATCCAATTCTGTCTGTAATCATACTCATGATTCACAAATTAGACTCCCTCTTCATGGTCATTGGATTCTGTTAATCATCTGTATGATTACAGACCAAATTGGACTCCACTCAGTCCTAATCAGAGATTATTTAACCAATTATGAAGTTCATATTATGAAGTTCTTGTTGTGACCTGGTAGCTAACCTTTATTTTTCTTATTTGTCTACTTCTGATTCCATTAAAGATTATTGCTCATACTTAGAAGCTTTGGTATTCACTTGAGTGAGCCATGTTTTATAAACATATGGAAGATATTTGAGTATGTGACTTTGTTACTGAAACAGAAAGCTGATCAAAGAACCAAATAATACACATACATATTTGTTTTCATTATTTATGTCCCCCTCCCTTTTTTCTTTACAGGTACAAATGTGGTAAAACCTGAATTTATCACTGAACCAGAAGACCAGTTTGTCCTGCCAAACTCACTGTCAGTCAATTTGTTGTGCGAGGCCAGATTTGTGTTAGACTTAACTTTTCATTGTAGTGGTGATTTACTTCAAAGAGAAATTCATGAAAGTCAAACCGAGAACCCAGGGAAGTTGCTGATCGTGGAAATAACCATATCTCAGGACCTCTTCAAAAACAATGCTACTGATGCTGTCTGCACTTGTGTGGCTACTGGTGATAAGGGTCAAGTAATAAAAAGTCAACCTGCAGCCATCAAAAAAGCTTGTAAGAGGATCTATGTTGTCAGCAGTGTCCTGTTTTGTGTTTTTCTTTTATTTTGTAACAATTGAAGGTCCTGTGTGGTGTCATGTACATGTAGGACATTAGCGAAAATACTTGAAAGTTTGGTGCATTACAAGTGAGGTTTGCTAAAGTCTAATGTCTAATTCTTGTTGGCTATATAAGGCTCAGGACAAAATTTTCCTTTTAATTTTTTTGTTTTTGCTTTGTTTTGTTTTGTTTTTTGCTGGTTTGCAATTCATTTTTAAGAGTTTTTCTGGTATAAGTTGCCTGTCTTGAAACCTGAGTGCAAACTAGAGAAAAAAGTACCGACCTATCTTTGCTTAATAAAAAAAATTAAATGCTTAGAAGCCTAGCATAATTATATTATTAGAGCCACCATGTGCATGGTAAAGGTAAGGAGTCTTGCTAACTAATAACTTTAACTGGCCTCCGTAGTGTGATGGGGTCAGCTGATAGGGAAAATGGCTCACTAAAACAGATGGAAAAGTAATTGTTTTCCAATGTTCTTTAATTCTCTTGGCAGATCTGGACAAAAATATAGTGATTTCACCGTCTGTTAACACAAGAGTACCAAAGAACACTCTGGTCACTTTGAAATGCAAGCCTCCAGCAGGAGTTCCAAGACCAACGGTCTCCTGGTGGAAAGATGGTCGTCTCTTGGATTCAAGCAGCAGAGGAGTTCTGTTTGGAACTGATCCTAACTTCCTTGAGGTCATCATAAGGAAAGCAAAAATCTCACATGGAGGGCATTACACCTGTGAGGTGTCAAACCTTGCTGGAAGCCAAAAGAGTACTGCTATCAAGTTAACTGTTTATGGTACGACCTTTATATATTAACTGAATTTATCTGTGATGGCAATAGTTTTGTAGAACATGTGTCTCTAATTATTAACAATTTGCTTGCTTTTAAAGGTCTGTTTCCTCTGTTACAAGTTAAAAAGATAAATGTTTACAATCAAACAAATACTATTTAACTAAATGTTTTGTTAAGCAATCACAAACAATGGAAATCAATCAAAAAAAATTTGATCAAATGTTTTTTAAGTGATTTAGCAGCAAAAGAAGTCAAGGCTGGACTTAACAGTTTTTTATTGTATCACCCATCTTCAGCATTGTTTTACCTGAAACTTAATTTGTCTGAGTCAATCAACTTGACAAATATTTAGATGTATATTGTACTAGATACCCATGACCTAGCCACTATAACTGACTTATTCTTTACTTGAAAAGACTCCACAAACCTATCAACCGATTTTACCCAAGAGTGGTATATATGTATATACATGTATTGATCAGAAAAGTTCCAAAAACATATTGAACCTCATACTGAGAGACAGGGCAAAATGGTAATTGTTACTTATATGCACTGTATGCTTTTTCTATATATTTACCTTTTCACAATAGCTGTCTTGGAAACTGATTATGGCTTATGAACAGTTATGTAGCATGTAAATTGAATTGTTTGGTTGACATATTATACTTATTTACAGTTGATGGTGGTTGGTCTGAGTGGCAGGAGTTTTCACCTTGTAATGCACCCAAATGTGGAGCTGGGAGGAAGATGTTAAAACGGTTGTGTTCAAATCCTCCACCTCAAAATGGTGGAGACCTCTGTGAAGGTTCCAATATCAAATACGAGCCATGTCAAGACTTCTCTCCAGGTACATTGTGTCATGGTCATTTTGGTGTAGCTATGAAGTAGATACATGTTGGTCACTCTTGCAGTGTCTCCTTCCATCTACGTTTGTGAGTGGGACAAACTGTCAGCCAAACCTGACAAATTTCTGAGATTTCAAATGCATGCCATCCAGGAACCAAAGGTAGTTCCTAGTCAATTTACAACACAGAAGCTGAGATAAGCTTCTGGAATGAATGTCACCCAGCTTGAGAGCATATATTTACTTTTAGATGTATTTGACGTATTTGCAATGTAAGTGTCTCATCTGTCTAGCCTTTTTGTCAACCTCTAGCATGCATGTTCTTTTGAGGATGAATTGAATGCATTTTGCGTAGTTGTAAAAGTGAATGGGGAGTCCATGGGCTGAGAGAATGGAGTTTGGTGGAGGTTGGAAACTACAGCACTGTACCACTGAAACATATTTTTCCTTTTGTCTTTAATTCGGGAATGGGTAACATTCTGTTATTGTGGCAATAGAGACAAGCAATGTGTAACTGACATCTGACTTAAAAGTGAACCCTCAGGTGCTGATTGCTGGATACAAAATCACACCAAAATAAAGACGTTTAAAACCGAACAGAAACTGTCCTATTTAAAATTTAGAATGATGGGACAACAACAAACTCGGATTTTTTTCCTCTTTTATAGATATTAGTATAACTTGTCCTGATCCCATCAACATATTTGTCAACCAATCAGATGTGAGATTGTTGAATGTCTCTTGGAATAAGCCTGTTATTCACAGTGCAGGGAATGATACAAAGTTCTCAGTAAAAGTTATTCCTGATTGGGCCCAGCCACCTGCTCTGTTTGAAGCAAAAAGTTCGGTGTATGTCATCAAGTATTTAACACAGGATAAGTGTGGATACACAGCCAGTTGTTCCTTCAACATCACAGTGTATAATAATTCTGGTAAGTCTTAACACTTTTTGTTTTAGATATCATTAGCGATATTCTCTGATATCACAGAGACTTAAGACACAAAATATTAGCTCTTAACAGGGTGGATGTTAAGATTTTTGATGTATACATGTTAATACAGTACTGATGGAGAGTTGGTGAATGCTTCCATTTGTTTCCTACGAGTACATTCATTAATATTCTTTATAGTGTCAAGACTGCGAGATATTTAATTAGTGATATTGCATACAGAAATTTCAACTAAGTAGTAAACCAGAACATGTATGTAGGTCTTAGAAAATGTGTGAGACTATCTGTGAACCTTGTTTGGTCAAAACACTATCGTGTAATTTACCAATGGCTATTTTAGGCGTATGCCTATCGAAGAGTCCTCATTCAGCTCAAGAATGACTTTTCTTATGTCTATTTTCCTCCAGCCTTTGCGTGTGCAACCCCGAACTGCAAGGGAAACACTTTGGCTTCAAAAGCACCACCAGTCATTATTTCAACAGGTAAAGCGACGAAAACTTTATTTGGTAAGATCCTTTGGAACTCTCCAACGATAGCCCCCAGTGATATGATAACTATGATAATAGTAATATCAAAATACACGCAATTATGATAGACCTGTTTAACCTTAAAAAATGAACGAAATTTTTATTTCTGTAATATTGTTTTTTGGGGGTAAGAAATTACAATTTGCGCCGGTCAAATTTGATTGGTTCGTCGAATTGTTACTTAACTTAAAGACATACGTAAATCGTCGAAATCTGCACGAATTTGTCATTTTCACTAATTAAACTATTTTTGCACTGCTCTAAGCCAACCTGAACACAACACCAAGGAGGAAAAAGCCCATTTCTGATATATTGTTTTTTTGTTTTTTTTTTTAAGTTGCCTTCAGGTTATTTTTAATTGTCCCTGCTGTATTACTGCTGGTGGTGTGCATAGTCTTATTCATCTATGTAAACCGGTATAGAAGTCTACGTAAGCGATTTGGCCTTTCTGTCGCGAGGCAAAATGAAGGTACAGGGACACATGCTCACGAGTGTACATTCTGCTCAGGTCATGACGTAGGTACGTATGTCACTTACGATGTACAATCCTCACTTTTTTCATATTCACGCACGATAATTGTTACATTTGAAGCGAAAAAGTTCATTAAAGAGTCATGGTTTACTCATAAAGTGATGCTCTTAGGTCGTTTTATGCAATACAAAGTTTGATTGAATGTCGTTGTATACTAATATTGCATTTAAGAGAGACGCCTTCATCAGTGCTAGGGCTTATCTTAGGGTATGGACCAGTGGCCCAAACTCGGTTCCTGTTGTCCATTCTCGTCCTTAATCTTAGGATCTATCTTATTGTTCTCCGGTTTTCCCTGCCTCACATAAACCAGCAAGTCAAATTCAAATTGAACCTTGCTATACGTAAGCTTGCAAACGCCTCCTTAAACTCAGCGTTATGTGGATGAGGAAATTACAATTTACCTTTTATAACCAAATAAATATGCGCACGATGCATTTCTTCTACATTCCATTTTACATTTATCTTGATGTGGTGACATTTTTTCTTCTTGGACTATTACACAGGTTCAAAGGATATCACAGACGAAAAAGGGCATGTTGTATCTCGGTGTGCATCCTATGCAGAGATTCCACCACTTAATAGAAAGTTGACTGCTGCATCTCCAACGGGCTCGGGAGCTTTTGACTTCCAAGGAGCAAGCGAATATCCAGCAGCATCAGCATTGTTCAAGGGGCGAGGGAAGACAATGCAGGTTGAAGCTCACGTTAACGGTGAAGAAAGGGAAGATACTTCTCGAAACTTCAAGAGGACATATTCGTCTGTTAGTAACAAATCAACAGCGTCTGAAATCTCACGAATGATGTGGAACATCTCCAACATTCCGGAAAACGCTGATCCGAAAATGGTCGCTTGTGGACTTGTGGATCACAACGGAGGGAAATTCACAATAGGGAATACTGGTGTGAGCCTAACCGTACCAACAGGAGCCATCCCAGAGGGTCGCACTGAAGGAATTTACATCGCTATTGTAAACAAAGAAAAAGAACACCCGCAAATCACTGGCAAACAGTCACTGCTGAGTCCAGTGGTTAAATGTGGTCCCACTGGTCTCAAATTTCAGCGACCAGTGATATTGAGTATACCACACTGCGCGCTTCTTGATAGAGGAGCATGGAAACTCAAAGGTAAAAATGGAATCAAATTGAGTAGGTCACTCCCTTGTAAATACCGTTTAATTATCTAAAGCTGGGGATGCAGTTTTCTGGTCTTGGGTTTTTAGGGCTTCTCTTTTCAACGAGGTCATGAAAAACATTTTCAACCAGCCCTTAGGTAGCTTTTTTTTATTTTGTTGCGTTCATTTAGTACTTGCAATACTGAGATGAGTGCTGATCTGTCGAGCACAACGTCTTGCAAGCACTTCCAAGTTGAGTCTATTAACTAGTCAAACAGAAAGACAGGGAACTCGTGTACAGGAAAGGTTAATGCCAACGCAAGCTATCTTAACCTGTTAGACTTGGGACAACATTGGAGTCTAAAAATGTTTCCAGGAGTGTTGTTGACGTTGTTGATGTTGTTGGTGGTTTTTTTTTTCTCTTTTAAAGACTTCTTTTCTCTACCCGACAGTGCAGTATAATGAAAGTGAACCCAGCACAATTGCAGATTGGAAGCAGCTGATTGATGTCAGCACTCAGGATGGAACTGAGGACTCCCATGTTTTAGTTGGACCCAATACGGTCCATTTGATGGTAGATCATTTTACCCTCTTTGCTGTGATTGGAGAGTCAACAGCCAATCAGAAAGCCGAGCGAGATTTGCAGGTTTTAGCTTACGTTACACCTCCAGAAGCCAACTCTGACTGTGTTGTGAGAGTTTATTGCGTTGAAGGCACTCCAGCAGCAATTGAGGTTTGTGAAGTGACTCGCGAAGTAAGCTTGCTTTAGTTAGAATAGATGAACCCATTTCTTTCGAATTCGTAACAAGGGTACAGCGTGAGTATCAATAATCAAGGATTCGTTACCACACAGCTATATATGAGAAAACGATTATTAAAATGATTATTTCCTTACCATAGAAGCAATTGGATGAGTTGATATATAATTTAGATTTTGATATAGTACGAATACGGTAGATTTTTGTCCATTTTCCTGTAAAACTGGCCTTAAATCAGATTTTTTCCAAAGGTGGCGAAATATTTCTGCAAAATAAAGTGGCAGAATCATCTTTATTAGTGTTACACATTTTCTTTGCTTGTTCTTACCTATTATACCTGTTTCTTATTCCAGGATGTACACAATCATGAAATAAAGAAGTATCGAGGTGAAACGATTGAATCTCCTCAACAACTTCGCTTCAAGGACGGCGGGGGAGATCTTTTAGTCGAACTTACGGATTGTCAAACGGGCTGGCAGCCCAGACTGAAAACAAAGGTAGACTCATCTTATCGTGGTATGATATACGTTTTGCAGGTCTATTACGTGAAGGCCAATGTTTGCGCCTTAAAAGAGAGTGAGTGCAATGTCTTTTACGTTGAAAGTAGTTCCTATTTTCGTAGAAATGGAACCTCCGACCCCATCTTGAAAGTGGCGGGTTTTTTTTTATTCTACGAGATGGCTTATTTATCACATGTATGTTATAAACCATGGATTGCATTCTCTAGCAAAACTGAAAATGCAAATGAATGGTATTTTACGACGAGAGAGTGATTACCGGCGTCAATTTAGCTTTTACTTTTTTTTTTTTTTTTTTTAACTCAGAAAATTCGTTTCCGAGACATTTGGGAAGGCATCCACCGCTTACCGAGTGCTACGTTTGTGTTCTCCTTGCGTGACACAACTGTGTCTGGATTTAGTGCTCAATTTGACGTGAGACAGGATTGTGAAAATGGTGACGAAAGAGAAGTCAATGTTGTGACAACGGTCAAACGAGGACATGAGGTGAGTTTGTTGAAATCACATTTACAACTGATCGTCTTAGAAAGGAAACCCTTAGTGCTGGAACAATTTGTCTTTATATTAGATCGTTTCAGATCGTGTGACGGTTCACGGACGTAGGAAACCCTTGCAAACAGAGGAGGTATTCTTTGATGATAATGGTGGAAATGACGTCAAACGTGATTTTGAAATGTCTATATTGCTTATTGTTTCGTCTTTTTGGACATTTTGGCTCTTATTCCTAGATTTTCGTAGAAATCTTTATGTAACATCTGTTTGACAGCAACTTGGTCCAACAGGCTTCCCTTCAGAAATTATGCATACATACAATGACCTGATTTGATCACACATCCAGTGAAAGACTGACGTTGCTTGCCCTCAGTTTTCTTCTAACATTGAAAGGAATCGAGATGTCTTGCGCCGTTCAGCCCAATAACATATGGATAGGTCGCCTGTGGCTGGCTGGCACAGGCATCCTAACCACTGGCTAGTTTTCTGACTGACTAGCCCGCAGGCTGACAGAAATTCTAAAAGATAAAGAAAACCTATAAGAGTATTGGTAATTACTAATCGGTAGATCTACATTGGTCAGTTACACTGCGGTGAAGTTGCCTTTCTTTTTATTTTTAGGAAAGTACGGGACCAAGGAACGATCAAAGGCAATCAAACACCAGCCTCGCTGCAAGGTGCGAAGATTCGGCAAACTTTCCTACAGGGGCAAGTTTTGCATGCCTGATGGATCATTCCACGGCATTGTTGAATGCAGGATCAATCGGTAATCCTTGGCATTATCGACAGTCAGAAGTTGCTGGAGCATGTGGGGGTATCCCTTCCTCGTCTCCCATGTCTGCAAGGCAGATGTCGTCTGGATACTTTTCTGTTGGTTTCGAGTCACTGCAAACTGTGGGTTTGCTGAGTCGCGAATTGCGGAGTAAACTTGCTCTCATACTTGACCCCCCACTAGAGTCCGACTGGAAAGTTTTGGCAGATAAGTTTGGCCTCACTCATGAACACATTAAGTGGATTGATAGTAGGAAAAATCATTCTCCTACAGAAATCCTCTTTAACTATTTGGAGACGATTGATGTACCACAATATCGATTTTCTCTGCCAAAATTATTAGAAATACTGCAGCAGATTGGTCGGGACGATGCCTTTGAGATTGTTACCGCTGAAATGTCAAAGAAGAAAGAAACAGAAGTTTGATTCCCAGCTTTAGTAGAAATGCCACGGGAAGCAACATTTTACACTAACAGATCTTCAGGAGAAAAGCCTTTTAAGGCGTTTAAAGGTCTTTACGTTACAACCTTTTCTCGAAGTTGAAATTCTTGGCAAAGGATCTTAACAGTACAGAAGGCTAATGTTCTCTAATATGAGCTGAATTTATGTTCATTCCTCTAAAGAATGATCATTTTCGCTTTTTTAGCACTGAACATTGGCAATAAGTTCCCGTTGCTCCGTATATTAACTAGATACATAATGGGAGATGTTGAGTAGTCATTTGATGGCTTAAATGTCATTTTATTGTTTGCAAAACAATTTCTCAGACCAGAAATCGTTCTTACGCTATTTTCTCAGATTTATCGGGCTTTTTGAAAAGAGTGTTTGACCTTCCGGACAAGAGCGTATGAAAAAGCTTGCCAGCATGGCTTATGTTTTCTTTTTCGGGTACAGTGACATGATTATCCACCTCTCCGGTCATCATCAGTGCTTGGCGAGGTTAATATGAGAAAAGACAGGTACTTTGGAATCTAGGTTTGTCACTAACGTACCCATTTAAATGCTGTAGTTTTAGCTTTCGCCAGGGGGCCTAGTTTTGATGATTTTCATAGCTTTGGTAACGCTACATTTACCTTATACCAAAGAGATCGATGTATTATTTTAGTACCATCTATATTTTTTATTTTGTTGTTTTTGGACATTCTTTTATTTTTTAATTTAAAATATTTTCTAATCTGATCTCTGTGAAGAAAATAGGAAATAAACTTAGAAATATAAACCATGTACCCTTACGTAATCTTCAAGAAATTATTGAACACTCTAACCGGTCGTCGCCTGAGGTACATTTACGTTCAGTAGTGTAAATATTGAGATAAGTAATTTCAGGGGAGTCTAGGCTATGACTGTTTTAAGGGAAGGGACGGTAACAACGAAGAATTTTGAAATGAGTGTTATCTTTAGTTTATTTCATCGTAGACTTATAGGAGACGAAAGCGGCTAGGATTTCAATTTTCCAAACCTATTCAGGCGCTGACTTGTTTCTGTTTGCGCACTAGACCCCTCTTTGCACCAATTAGATCATTACAATAGGAAATAGTTGTACTGATTTGCATGGTGTATGGCCACAACAGGTAAGGGAAAGTTTGGGAAAAAAGGGATTTCCACACAAAACCACGAGCAGGCTTTCAAACGTGTGACCCTCCACGAGGTTTCAGGAAATAAGGTGAACGCACGCACACGGCACGTTTTAATACGCTCGCACGCTGATGGCATGACACACTTGCCATGCAGATATGCACATAAAAGTAGTTGATTTTCGAAAGCTTGTTGGAGCCATTGTTCACGTCTGGCCAACACGATAGAGCATTGTTTCTATAACGCGCTTGATTTTTTTTTTAACACGATGAGCTCCTTTGTTTCTTAAAACGCAAGCTTATCTTGTGCAACCCAGCTTACTTCACTACTAAATTATTTTCCGGCTCCATGTCTCCTGCACGATCGCTGTTCGTCATTCAATGCAAACCGGCATTTTTAAAATAAATAACCGCTAGTTAGCCAGCGCAAAGCGAAGTTTTCCGAGCGAAGCCGGCTTATTATAAAACTGGCACGGTCACCGTGTTATATCGTGCAAAGTTACGAGTAAGATCTTAACACGTTCCTTTGTTTCAACCGTGCGAAGCAAGACAATGGCTGCCGAGTTAGTGAGGAAGGTAACTTGCACGCAGCTAATGTGTTAAAAGCTCGTTCTTTTGTTTTAGCGTGCTAGTGTACCGCGTGCATGCGTTCGCCCTATTCTCTGAAATCCCATGGAGGGTCACATATTATTGTGCAATGAACTTCTGCATCTGGTTTTTCAAGTTTCATTGCACTTGCTCTCCTGTCTGGTCACGCATTGCTGACTGGCAGTGTCAATGAAACCTCAGCAACCCAAAGCAGCATTCCAAACATTAGCGGGTAATTCACGTTACTCTTCATAAGCTGGTAAAGGAACCATGCAAGGATGTTGCCTGTCTTACTATTCCTCACTTCTTCTGGTGTTGCTGCCTTGATGTTCTCACTGATCTCGTACTTCATTTGGTTCCATTACGATTGTAATCTGCCAATTGCTCCTTCGTCTGCACGGAAGAAGTGGGAAGTCAACACTTTCATCTCGTCTTTTCCATGCACTTTAAAACCGGATTCATCGGTTCCAGGCACTTAAACTGGATCAAATATGGTAAAAGCGAACAGGACATCATGACATTACAAAAATGCAAATGCTCTTCAACGTCCTTTATCATGCTGCTGATTTCCATCTCCTGAATGCTTACAAGTGCCTTACCATCCTTTCTGGACTTCTTCGCTTCTATACCAAAAAATCCAATGCCATCAAATCCTTTTAAGGGTATCCTACGCAGTGTTTTCTGGTTTGATTGTTTCAAGCAGCGCTTTTGTGTGTACAACTGCTGGAAGTATTAATTGATAGTCCTTAGGCATATTTAATGTCTTCTAGCAAAATTTGCCTCACAGCTTTTCCCAAGCAAGAATTGATCCTCTCTGCCTTAAGTTCAGAAAGCAACAAAAAAATGGTATCTCCATCATTTTGAGTTAGGGGTAGAAACGTAGGATTAGGGACAGAGCTTTTCTTTGCCACATTCTCCTCAAATTCTTTCTGAAGAGAGGACACCCTCTGGAGTCCATAACTTTCAATGCTTCGAGCGTAAATTCCGGACTGCTTGTGGTTATAAGGGGCAGCTAGATTGCATCTCAGTTCACTTCAGTTCAGGCAGGCGTCTGTCGTTACCGACAATGCCGAGTGAGATCATCTATTTCGCCCGTAGAAGATGACAGCTCTTGAGTTTCTTCAGGTTCATCAGTTCATCTATTTTTGTTCTTCTGTGAATACTGAATCGCCACTGATCACGGTGTTTTGAGGTCTCGGTCCAGCACACTAGATTCATATCACGAGTCCACGTTTAAGAACGTCTTTGAATCGGAGCTTAGGTCGCCCTACAGATCTGGTCCCTTCTCTGAAGACGCTGTGCAGTATAGTGTGTGGAATGTGATGTTTTGGCATCCTGTTGACATGTCCTTCTCAGCGGAGTGTTATCAGCTTCAGTTTTGAAGAGAGTGACCAGAGTTTGCGATTCGGAACAGTTCTTCATTTGTCATCTTATCCTCCCATGTGATTCCAAGGAGAGATCTGAGGCATCTGAGGTATCTGTATGTGGTCCAGCGTTCAGCACCAAATGGTAAGATACTTGAATTGCAGGCTTCATACCTTACTTTGGTCTTAGTGGTGAGATGCGTATTCTTCCATACGCGATCAGTTGTAGAAGCTTTCCCAAGTCTTATGGATATCTCGTCCTCTCGAGACACGTTTGAGTGCATCGTTGATCCCAGATATGAAAAACTTGTTTGACATTACCTAATGGTGTCAACTTTAAAAGTGTGTGGCTGTGCAGATTGCGACATAACGACGGTTTTCTTCAGGCCAATGGCAAGACCAAAAACTTTGCATGACTAGGAGAAACAGTCCAGAAATTCTCGAAGCTGCTCCGTAGATGAGGCACAAAGAACAGCATCATCAGCAAAGAGAGGCCCCCTAATGACCATTTCTCGAACTTTTGTCTTCACCTTGATGTGGGGCAGACGGAAGAAATTACCATCAACACCAATTAGCACTGACACACCAACTAATTTGTCCGGTTGTTGGTAAGCTTGTCTGAAGACGTGTGAAAAGTACAGGCCAAAGAGAGTGGGAGCCAGTATACGTCACTGCTTTACCCCTCTCTTGAGTAATGCGTCTTGTCTACTGGCGAGACAGAGCAAGTCTACAGAACTGGTAATTAAAGGCAAGAGTCATCACTTTATCGGAAAACAGAATTCTCTTCCTTACACGTATGATAACTCCAACCGTACGATAGATACAACTCCAACAGTTTTAAATGCGTTTTTCAATACTTAATACAACTAAGTGACGACAACTAGCAACAAATTGCGAAGAATTTGAGACAATAATTCACAAGAACTTGATTGACAAACTGATTTACAACATTCAGTTCTTGTGTGTACACCACTTTCTGTCCTACCTTTGGCACGACCTACAGGCTTCTGTTTCCGCCCCCCCCCTTAAAGCTGAACTGCTGGATACGAAGCCCAATAAGGGTCAAGCGTGAAAATAAACTTAAAAGAATCATCACAGTCGTGATCAGTGAACTGGTTACTTTTAGTAAATGATAAATTGTGCAGCAACTCAGCATTTGCCACCTTGTAAGCGATGTTTAATAGGTAAGTCATTATCAGTTATAGGTAAGTCAGAATCAGGTTTGATTGTCACGCTGAAATAGTAATATAGTCGCTCGACATTATTATCAAACAGTGTGATGTTACACTGTTATAATAACTAAATCTTTGCTGTGTCGTGCAACCGTAAGAAAGAAAAATATATTTCAAGAAAGCACTGCATAAACACTCCGGTTTAAAAATGCTTTGATCAAAGAAATCATGGGAAGTGGAAATATTTATTTGATTGACAACAAGAACGATGTGAAGGCACAGCCATTTTCAGAGGCAATCTGAACAGACCTGACCGTCCAAATACATAATTACAACAAAACTTTTAGGAAGGAAATCTTACGTTTATAAGCTGCGAAGGAATGTGAATTCCATCAACCACTTGCTTTCTTTGTTCTGTGGCATAGCTATACATATGAGTTGATAGAAATACCATTTTTGAAAGTCAAATTCAGTATGCTGCAGTTTTGTTTCAAGACACATCGCGTCTCATTCTTAACTAAACTGAAAGACAGTTTAAAGCAATTTTTCTTACTTTAGATGGGCTGTAATATTTTCTAAAATCGCACATAGAATTGTGTAGACAGCCAGAGTATTAACAATTTTTAAATCTTATTTGAGAGATTCTTAAAACTCAAAAGGGCCAAAGAAAGCTGTTTTATATTAAGCAGCTGTATCCTACTTAGATTCAGAGAAAATGAATCGCTTATTGCAAACTTGAAAGCAACGAAATGATCGATCGGAGGGCAGTTTTCCTTTCCCCGTCCAAATGAACTACAGTAACCAAACTGATAGTTTTTAAGTTTAAAACTTTATGTAGACTACTGGCTACAAAATCACTTTTCTTAAAGAAGGGGGAATAAGGAGCACTCTCTTGTGTACCATTTGAAAATCTTAAGAGAAAGCCGGATCTATCTCTTCTGGTTCTTCAGAGTTGCCGAACATTGTTGGTAGGAATTTATTCACCGGATGACAATTAATCATGAATATGAGGAAAATTATTTTCCACGAGAACTGTATTAAGCTTGAAACCTCATTTCAGTAAATTGTCTTCTCGTCTCTGCCTTCTTATTTTCTTGCAGTTCTTTCGCGTCACAATTGGGAAACCTTCCCGCCATTATTTAAAAAATACAAACAATATCATTTCGCACACCACAGAAACTGTAATTTTTTCATGTAAGTATTTCAAATTTGGCTGGTCTTGGCCAATCACATTTCAGTACAAATAAACTTATTTGCCTCCAAACAAAAAAGTTTATGTCTCCTACCTAATTTTCTAATGCATATTGCTAATTTTTAACTAAGATACTGATTCAACGAGGAAAGGCAGGGAGTTCTGAAGGGTCAAACTAAAGGGGGACTGGGTCATAGCATCCGAAATTGATTGAGTAACAAAGACTATTTAGTGCAAGAGGCACGAGTTTGATGGAAAGTTACTCCAACCATCAGTATAAGACGTGTTATGTTTCTCGAGTTCGTTCTATTTGTCTTTAGAACTGACACATACTAAATGAGACCCTCCTCCTTCCTTCCTCAATGTTATTTTGTGTTGAGAGCCTTCAATGCCTTCTCTCAGCGTTCCATCACCTTTGCCAGAGCTTAACAAATTAAAACTCGTTAA